AATCAATCTTCAGTGTGACTGAAGCAGTGAATGACACCTTGATCTTCAACACTTTTGTGCTCTGCCAAGTTTTCAATGAATTCAACGCAAGGAAGCTGGAGAAGAAGAATGTGTTCAAGGGTATTCATAAGAACAAGCTGTTTTTAGGGATAGTCGGGATGACCATTGTTCTTCAAGTGGTGATGGTGGAGTTTCTAAAGCGGTTTGCAGGTACAGAGAGGTTGAATTGGGGACAATGGGGCGCCTGCATCGCCATGGCTGCTGTCTCTTGGCCCATTGGCTGGATCGTCAAGTGCATACCGGTGCCAGAGAGACCTATTTTCAGCTATCTCAAATGGAAGAAGCGCGCATAATGCTTCACAAATTCACTCACTCTGTCAAAATTTGCTTGCATATCCTATGATTCGTTTCAGATTTCTCCTTTACGTTTGTATAGGCTATAATTATTTATTCTTTAAATTTCTACATAGATATTCTGTAATTGGATTCACTGTTTTCTCCATTAATTCTATTTGTATATAGGAAACATATAATAGAATAACTTGATTCTTTTGACATGAATAGCTCAACATGTTTAATTTTTGCTTGAATGTAATCAAAAGCATTATCAAAAATCAATATGCAAGATGCTGCAAAGATTAATAAGTTATTATTGTAAAATTCGATAAGCACTTTCCAACCATTGAAGCAACATGAATCTCAGGAGTATGTGGAGAAGGTTACCTTGGTGCCCAATATGAAGAAGTTCTGAACCCTTTGTTGAATGAAATAAGGTCAGTTATCCTTATTCTTATCAAATGCAGCAACCTGAATAAAAATCAATTGACAAGGATCAACGATTTCACATATTTATGTGACAGAGTAATGCTCTAGTTTCAGTGAACACATTGAATCCTAAATACTGTGTGTACCTTGAAAGGAAGAATATTTAGTCGTTTAAGTCCCAGAACTGAGCTTAATATATACCTTGTTCCATGATCAAGCATCATGTGAATCTCTTTTCTCGAGTTAATGGCCCATACCAGTAGGGTCTCTACCAACAATGCAAAAGCTAGCCCCTGCATTTATCTAAGATCTTTCATGCCACAGGACTTCAGTTGGGCAGGCATAATATATGGGAGTTGAAATATAGATACCATCTAGAACACCATCTTCAAGCACCTGATAAATCATCATCAAACGGATTCAGCAACAAAAGCATATAGATGAAGATGTATCAATAAAAAAGGCAAATACATGAAGAATCAAATAAATAAACCAGTCAGTCAGTTTCCAACACACATAAAATAATTTTTTTTTTTAAAAACAAGAAAACAATTTTCAACTCTTAATCTTCTCTAGAATCCTCCCCACTGAGGATTCTGGGAATATATTCTTCTTCCCCAATATTCGACAATAGTTATCTAGGAAGTCTCTCGACACCCTAGCTCCCAACCATCGGAGTGGTGAAATCAATATCCTTACCTTGTCTCCTTCGGCCTTTTGGGTCACTCAAGTTGAATAACATAGCGTCCGTTTTGAGTTGGACCTTAATAACATACCGTGTCTCCTCATTCCTTTCTTTCACTTCCTGACTACCCCACCAGTGCCTCGTCTCAAACAATTTCCTCCTTCAATTTACTTTTCGATTTCTTCTTCGATTTCCCGCGGGGATTTCTAATTTCCTTTTAGTCTCCTTTTGGATTCATCTTATGGGGATTTCTACCTGGGGAATTGTTATCTGTCCCTTTCTCTCGAAATCTTGCTGAGAAAGTTAATCCGTCCTAAATTGTTTCGAGTGGTGCAAGCAGCCTCGATTTCTTCTACAAAATCAATCCTTGGTCCAATCAATGTCCTAGAGCCCTCAATTTATGGAGAAATTAAGCAGAGGAAGCTTCCCCTAGACTCAAATGGATGGTGAACTCAGGTAAATAATGTGATTAATCCTAGTGTTTGGGTGATATGTGCGATTGAAGTTATTGTTGAAGTTTCTCAAAATGAATTGGTAGATAATAGGTAATAAATTTTTGGGTTTTGATTAGACGAGATTTGGAAGATAAGTGTCTCTTTAAACTATGCATACAATATGTTTGTAGAATTGCCTAAATGGGTTTTGCTAAGGCATTTT